GCTAGGCTGATGCCACGGCACTCACTCTAGCCTGGGCAAAAAAAAAAAAAAAAAAAAAAAAAAATTTTTAAACCAAAATGAAAATACAAATTATCAAAATTTGTGGGATGCATCAAAAGCAGTGCCTATTCTGTGTGAATATCTTAATGAAAAAAAAAAAAAAAAAAAGCAGTGCCTAGAGGGAAATTTATAGTACTAAATGCATATGTAAGACAAGAAGAACAATGTAAAATCAATAATCTAAGCTTCTACCTTAAGAAACTAGAAAAAGATCTTCTGACAGCGCTTTATAAAAAAAAAAAAAAAACTAGAAAAAGAGCAAATTAAATCCAAAGTAACCAGATAAAAATAATAAAAAAAAAATTAGAACAGAAATCACTGAAATTGAAAAGAGGAACTCAATAAAAAAAATCAAGAGTGAACCTCTAATGTAAACTATGGATGGTGGGTGATAATGAGTCAATGTGAGTTCATCGCTTGTAACAAAGGTACCACTGTGGTGCCAGATGTTAACAGTAGAGGAAGTTGTGCATGTGTAGGGACAGGGAGTATATGAAACACTCTGTACTTTCTACTCAATTTTGCTGTGAACCTAAAACTGTTCTAAAAAATAAAGTTTATTAAAATTTTTTAAAAAGTGACCACATAGTTCTATTAATAAATCTCACCTCTCTTCCCTAGAAAAAAGAAAAATGAATTAATCTTTTCAACACTCCTCTAATACTTTAAGACAAAATATTCATTCAAAACAAGCCTCTTCACTGAGAGTGTTCAAGAACTTAATTGTGCCTTTGTTACCTTAGGATATTTTAATTGTCCCTTTAAAGACTCTAAGGAACAAAGATGGGACAAAAGCAAAAATGAAGTACTTGAGTGACTCTCATTCATATCTTTCAACTCTCAACATGGCTAGACAGATTTAAAACATACTTTCGGAGGAAAGTAATTAAAAATTAATATAGTTTAATACTGCCAATCCTCTCTTTCTCTAAATTTAAAGATTCTTATATATGAGGTAGGAAAAGCACAAATTCATCTCTCTTTTACTTAGCTTATATTTTCCAGGATTTTTAAGTGTCTAAAGAAATGGCACTTTTACAGTGTCCTTCTATTTTGGACCTACAGAACTTTCCATTCCCTCCCAAATATATAACTGTGGCTTTATTTGCACCAAATCACCTTCCCTGATGAGCAACCTAGGGCTCTAATGCTTCCTGTCCACTCTGCGGTCAGAAACTATGCTTTTGAACAGTTAATATTGTACCCCTGTTCAATCTGCTCAGAGCACAATCTTGGAATACTGATTCTATTGCTTAAGGCCATTTCCTAAGTCCCCCAAACAGACTGTCATTATTTCTCTCTCCAGAAGCTGGCAGTTAATAACCATCCTACTTCTAGCCAGTAAGGGAGCAGTTATTTCCTGACAGTATGTCTTCAGGTCAGCATGATCTCTCCAATTACAAGTTTATCACTACCTGTGGTTATACAAAGAGCATCTTTGTTGCTATCTCTTAGATGAGAAATAGAAACTCTCTGAGGGGACACCATCCTATTAATTTGGCCTAGGTCGTCTTCACTCATGCATCCTCCTTTTGGAGCTGTCAGTTTTCCATTTAAAAAGCCACCATAATTGACTATGTTTGTTCCCTTTCAGGTTTGAATAACACAGGAGAATGATTCTTTGGTTGTCAGTTCTTATTTCAAAGTCTTTCTTAGGGAAAGAAAATTCTTATTTTAGCTAGGAATAACCACACACTAGTCTATTGCAGCTGGAACAACCCTCAAAAAAGCTGTACAAAAGAAAAATGTGACTTCCACCTCCAAAAGTCATTAGAGATTTTTTCTTCTTATTAAGGCACCCAGAACACATAATATTATATTGAGCCAAAAGAACCAATTTTCTTCATGGAGTAGAATAGCAATTGGCCGTTACTCATTAAATTCTTACAGCAATGAGCAATGACTTTCTTTCTTATTTTGCTTCTCTCTGAATAGTAGATGAAGTTGATTTTTTTTTCCAAGCCTGCCTCCTATCTCTAGCATTCCTGATCCTTGGCCTGTGTAGCTGTTAATATGCTGCACACATATACTCAGGCTCCTTAACAGCCAATGCAGTTAACCTTTCTGTTTACTCCAAGTCAACCCCTATCTTGTTAGTGAAATTGATTTTTTTTCTTTCTAAACAGAATAATTTCATATGGTACAAAAACTATACACACACACACACACACACACACACACACACACACACACACTCTTTCCACTGGTTTTCTAAATCCTTTTTTTGTTTTATTTTAAGAGCTTCAGGGGCCATGGGTTCTCATGTTTTAGTTGAGAAAGACATGTACATTTGTGATAATGCCAAAAGGTGGGCTGACTACAGCTACTTCACAAACATAGTTATTATCTCTCCTGGGGTAAACTGCTAGAACCCACAATTTACCTCTATTCTCAAGGAGAAGTTAATTCCCTTGATTGAACATAGGTGAAAGATTATATTTTCTGGAATTAAGGAGTAAAATATTAGAGATTATACAAAAGGACGTTTTGTCATAACTGTGTTCAAAGGTACTTCTCTTTCATAACTCGCCCGCATCATTTTATATTGTAATTGCCTATTAACTGTCTGTACCCCTCAAGGATAGGAAGCTCCTGGAAGGCAGGAATTGCATCATAATGACTGTTTTATCTTCAGGGCACACAGTCTGGTAGATGATATACAGTTAATACATATTTCCGTTAGTGTTAGTATTATATTTAATACAAAAGTCGGATTCTTAATTAGCCATGGTTTTAGACTAACTGGCATACCCATTGCCCCAACATTTATGAAATGAGCTTTAATCAGATGTTATCCCAGTTTAGACAGATATCCAATTTCAAATATCTAACGATCTCTACGTAAGCACTGAGTATCTTTATGGGAGGCAGCAGAAACAATGCTAAATTTGCCAGTTTTGAGTCTTACTGCTCTGATTCAGACTCTACAACTAACTAGCAGTACCTTTGGTAAGTCACTTTAACTTAATGGATCTCATGTCAAAGATTAAAGTGGGGAACTGAACTAACTGGTCTCCAAGTGTCTAGCTGGGCCCAGCTCTATTCAGGCTCTGATTAGGAATGAATTACTAACAGTGAGGGTACTACTGATATAGCAAGCCCTTATCAACACTAGAGGGAGCCACATTCATGCCATCGATGGGGCGTTTTAGAAGATTTCACAAAAAAGCGTTTTTCAATGGAAAATGGACTTTTCCAGAATGAGAGAAATTCCACACCAAGTGAGAGGTCCACATTGTTCATACAGCTACCCCACAGGTTCCCTGTAATTACCTGCTTCTTACAGATGTTAGAACACCTCACACCTGACTTGTACCAACACACCAGGCTTCAGTTTTAATTCCATGACAACCAAGCTGGCTTTGAACCATTTCTAAAGATGATTTTCCCCATTTAACTATTTTCTTTCTTAATCAAATCAATGACAACAAAAAGCAAAGTAATTAATAGTGATATCAGAAAATCCTCAAAGAGGGGAGACAGAGGAGGAAAAGGATTCATATCACACTAAAATAGTGACCTGGAAAAAACAGTAAAGCTAACTTCAGTGAATTCATTAGCCACCTGCCACTCAAATCCAAAGCTGCTTTAAAAACAAGAAGATCACTCAAAAAGAGGAAAGATAAGATATCAAGGAAAGGAAGGAATCAACACAGCTCTGCAATGTGGGAGCTGGGATGCCCTATTGGGCTCTGTGGTAAGAAGCTCACAGCTGCTGAAGAGTGATGTCATTAATTAGAGACAATGCGGTCACATTAGGCATTTGGCAAGAAGATTGTAAAGTGACAAGATAAGGGAATGGAGGATGGGTACAGAAAGAAAAAGAGAAAGCATTTCTAAAGCTGAAGCTTACTCTGATGTTATTATATACTTTCTTCTCCACCTCTGAAAAACACCCATGGCCTTGAAAATGTTTGACCTCAATCATCATAGAACAAGTGAAATGAAGAATCAAACCCCTCCATTAGTATCAACTTATGTTTCTCTCTGCCTGGAGGAACAATGGCATGTTAACCTGATAGGGCATAAATCATGAATATTACAGAATATAGTCTGTGAGAGAAAGATAAATGCAATTCTGAGGAACCCCTTTTATTTAAATTTCATAGATTAATTCAAGTAAAGCATCAACAGTCATAGACCACCTACTTTTTAGGACATGGGCTGTTCCTGAGTAAAAATAGATTATAAAGCAATTTCAGACAGTGACTTTATGGGTAAAGAGAAAAATCTACTAGAATGAGACAAACAATTATTCTCCACTTAAAAAATGCAAACTTAAAACTTTCAGAGGTAAGTACAGAGTAACACTTACCAGGTTAAAAATCAGCTTATTCCTATGGATCCAAGTAGTTGGGATACCTAATTGTTTCTTAAATCACCAACTTCAAGTACTCTAGAGCTGTCCCCAATCCCCGGGCTGTAGACTGGTACTGGTTCATGGTTTGTTAGGAATCAGGGCCATGCATCATGGATCGGATCGATTACCTCCTGAGCTCCACACTGCCCCCAGCCCCCTGCCCCCTCACCCTATGAAACAGAACTGGGTCCAACAGCAGGAGGCGAGGCTAACAAGCGAGGGGGCAAAGCTTCATCAGTATTTATAGCTGCTCTCCCGACCACTGGCATCACCACTTGAGCTCCACCTCCCCTGCCTCCCCCCAAATCCATGCAAAAATTATCTACCATGAAACCAGTCCCTGGTGCCACAAAGGTTGGGGACTGCTGCTCTATAGTGTCAAAGCCTTATCAGAGTCAAGAGGACTTCTCTTTTCCAATAGAAAATTAAAAGAAAAAAATTTTAACAGCCCTTTCAATCAACAATCCTCCTGAGAAGCATGAGAAAAATATATTCTATGTTAAAAGGAAAACAACTTGTTTTCCTCCCTTATTTAGGACACATGTCAAAGGATTTCCAATTCACTCTGCTTCATACTGACCTTTAAAACGTTTCGGCCATCAAATGATTCTCTTTCCTTGAAGATATATTTGCCATCCGCTGTGTAGAGATTGTACCTGCCTTCAGCTGTAAGTATTCCAAAGATAACGTTAGAAGAGAAGCTTAGGTTAATTGTCTGTTTTCTCTTAGATTTCCATAGGTACACAGGTACAACTAGCAAAATTTCCATGTGCTACCTCAAAAGGGGTATAACATGGAAGAAAAAACATCAGGCTATGAGTCAAGAAATGTGGCTTCTAGTACCAGCTCTGTCATCAACTCATTCAATATACATTTACTCATTCAACATTCTTCAAGTACTCACTGTATGCACTTCTTATCTATGCAACTAGCTACATTCTTAGGCAAATGATGTCTTCTTCATGGGCCTCGGTTCCTCAGTGACAAAGTTAGAAGTCAAGACTAAGTGATCTCCAAAGGTTCTTTACAGTTTACAAACCCAAGATAATCTGCACATAATTTTAAATACATAGATATACACAATAGTTCGCATATTAACTAGTCAAAACCGCTGAGTTTTGACCCAAACACTATGCTTTGGGTTGATTTAAGGACTCCCCCCAAAGGAAAAAGAGCCCTTTAGTTGCAATCAAAGGTATCCTTACAGACAATCTACACAGGAATGTGGCAAATCCATGACCTTGGCCTAAACAAAGCTGTGCTCTACCTTCTTGTGTCAATTTAGGTTTCATATCCCAAAAAATGTTCTTAAAGCTTTCAAGGAAAAAAATATCAAAGAAAAGGGAAACAGGAGAGAAAAAATATAACATCATTTCATGTTCTTTTCAAGTAAGAATTCAACACAGAGAAAAGTCCAGGGTAGAAAAAATTCAAAGCCTCCTCAAGAATTATTTAACTCTCAGAATATTTCCTAAAATATTAATCCTTTCCTGCCTACTGACAGACATTCAAAAATATTTGTATTTCCACCTTTGAGAATGTTCTTTTACTTATATAGGTATGGAGAGAACCAGGTCAGAATTGATAAAATAAATCTACAGTTCTAACAACTCCATGAATACAATGCATTTTAGTTAGCACACTGGTGTTACACATGGGTAACTATGGAATTATTTCTCTAATGAGAAGCAGGCTTTTAATCAAAGGTCCTAATCCCATGTATATTTCACAACTTAAGATATGTGAAGTTTTGAAAGAACAATAGGCCAAGCATGGTAGCTCATGCCTGTAATCCCAGCACTTTCAAAGTCCAAGAAGGCAGGATGGCTTGAAGCCAGGATTTCGAGACCAACCTGGGCAACAAGGCAAGACCCATCTCTAAAAAAAAATTGAAGATTAGTCACGTGTGGTGGCGCGTGCCTGTAGTCCAGCTACTCAGGAGGCTGAAGCCAGAGGATTGCTTGTGCCCAGGAGTTCAAGGCTGCAGTGAACTATCCTGGTGCCACTGCACTCTACTCAGAACAAGAGAGTGAGACCCTGTCTCAAAAAAAAAAAAAAAAAAAGGTAAAAGAAGAAGAAGTAAATTAATACTAAATAAATACCAATTACAAAGCAGAAATCATTTCTGAAGATTGATATGTTTAATGACAAGTCCAAAATCTATAAGTAGCATTAACCATCAGGGAAATGCAAATCAAAGCCAAAATGAGATACGACTTGACACCTACAAGGATGGCTATAAAAAAATAAAAGATGTAGTAACAAGTATTGGCAAAGATGTGGAGAAACTGAAATGCTCATATACTGCTGGTGGAACATAAAATGGTGCAGCCACTTTAGAAAACAGTGTGTCAGTCCCTCAAAAGATTAAACATAGAGTTACCACATGACCCAGAAATTCCACTCCTAGGTATATACACAGGAGAACTGAAAACATGCCCACACAAAACTTGCATATGGGCCGGGCGCGGTGGCTCACGCCTGTAATCCTAGCACTCTGGGAGGCCAAGGCGGGTGGATTGCTCAAGGTCAGGAGTTCGAAACCACCCTGAGCAAGAGTGAGACCCTGTCTCTACTATAAGTAGAAAGAAATTAATTGGCTATCTGATATATATAGAAAAAATTAGCTGGGCATGGTGGTGCATGCCTGTAGTCCCAGCTACTGGGGAAGCTGAGGCAGGAGGATTGCTTGAGCCCAGGAGTTTGAGGTTGCTGTGAGCGAGGCTGACACCAGGGCACTCACTCTAGCCTGGGCAATTAAGTGAGACTCTGTCTCAAAAAAAAACAAAAAACAAAAAACTTGTATATGATGTTCACAGCAGCATTGTACATCATAGCTAAAAAACAGAAAGAACATGCATAAAATGTGGTATTTCCATACAATGTAATATTATTCAGTAATAAAAAGGAATGAAGTATTGATACATGTTATAACATGGATGAGCCTTGAAAACATTATGAAAGATGTGAAAGATGCCAATCACAAAGATCATATATTGTATGATTCTATTTATATAAAATGTCCCAGAACAGGCAAATCTATAGAGACAGAAAGTAGACAGGTAGTACCTAGGGCTGGGGAGGAAGAAATGGGGAGTGACTGCCAGTGGGTGTAAAGTAACTTTTGGGGGTGATTAAAATGTTTGAAAATTGATCATGGTGATGGTTGCACAACTTTGATTACATTGAAAACACTGACTTGTACATGTCAAATGGGTGAATTGTATACTGTGTGAATTATATCTCAATTAAGCAATTATATTTTGAAAATCTGTAAGTAGGAAGGGATAACTAGACTGTGAACACAGAACATTTTCTTATATAAAGCTATAACTATATACTTGGATACACACAATTTAGAATATATAGATGCCAACATAATTGAACTCTTTCCACATTAAGAGACTAATTAATAATGAAATATGAAATAGGTTTAAGAGGTCTGAACAGAGATTTAAGGACTAAGACAAGTGCAAAATAGACTAATGATAGCTATTAAGTATCTAATGAAATATTACCTATACCTGCAGTGTCCAAAATAGTAGCCACTATCCAGATGTGGGTATTTCAATTTAAATTAAAGTTAAATTTAAGTAAAAGTTCACCTTCCCAGCCTCACTAGCCACCTTTCAAGTGCTTAATAATCACATGTGGGATGGACGCAGTGGCTCATGCCTGTAATCCTAGCGCTCTGGGAGGCTGCGGCGGGTGGATCATTTGAGCTCAGGAGTTGGAGACCAGCTTAAGCAAGAGTGAGACCCCCGTCTCTACTAAAAAAATAGAAAGAAATTAGCTGGACAACTAAACATATATATAGAAAAATTAGCCAGGCATGGTGGTGCATGCCTGTAGTTCCCGCTACTCAGGAGGCTGAGGCAGGAGGATTGCTTGAGCCCAGGAGTTTCAGGTTGCTGTGAGTTAGGCTGATGCCACTGCCCATTAGCCCAGACAACAGAGGGAGACTCTGTCTCAAAAAATAAAAATATGATCGCATATGGCTAGTGGCTACCATACTGGCCATCACAGATACAGAATATTTCTGTTATCACAGAAAGTTCTATTGTAAGGTGGTAGATACAATATGTCATCTGAACCAATAAATTTAAAGGATACTCTAGAGTTCTGAAACTGCCTACACATAATGAAGTTAAAACATGTATCACCTCAGGGGATCTCACTGGGTTTTCCAAAATAAAAATGACTATCCAAAATAAAATAAGCAGGCTGGGCACTGGCTCACACCTGCCATCCTAGCACTTTAGGAGGCTGCGGCAGGAGGAATGCTTGACTCCAGGAGTTCAAGACTAGCCTGAACAACACAGAGAGACCCTGTATCTACAAAAAAAGAAAAATTAGCTGGGTGTGGTGGCATGTGCCTGTAGTCCCAGCTGCTCAGGAGGCTGAGGCAAGTGGATCGCTGGAGCTCAGGAGTTTAAGGTTGCAATGAGCTGTGATGATGCCATTGTACTCTAGCTCGGGTAATAGACCAAGACCCTGTCTCAAAAAAATAAAAATAAAAAATAATAAACATTAATAAAATAATAGCATAAACCTAGGTGAGTGTTTCTACTGGACAAGCTACATTATAATACATAGATATCTCAAATATTCCAACCTTCTGCAGTACTACTATCAAAATGAAAGAAATATGCTCCACTGGAACAAGCAAAAGTTCAAAGCTCTGGATTCTATTAACTACCCAAACAAGAGTCTATAGACTTTGACTGCGTCATTTGAACCTCCTTTGGTCTTAGTGCTCTTCATGCTCTTCAAAGGCAAAAGTGATTTATTTAGAAAAGTCTTAAATAAAATTCAGTATAGTATCATAAAACATTAACGTTTCCAAACTAATAACTAGACAGCTAGTATTTATTGGTCCTACAATGGCTCTAACCAAATGGAATGATATTAAATGATTTCCAGTTGGGATCTTTTAAGTAAAAAGATGTATCTTGACAAAAAGAGACACAAATTGTCCTAAATTAAAAATCCACAAATAGTCAATTGGTTCAAGTTCTGATAAACTCTTTTTCCAACCTAGATTTTCTAAAAAAAAGGTCAGGGCCCTAAGAAAGGAAATAAAACCTAAATATGCAATTTTGGTGCTAGTATAATTTAAACAACAGATCTTAGAAGGAACAGTTGCATAGAGCTTGAATTTATACTTCCTGATCAGATGCTGAATGTGCTAGAGAAGTTTTCACTTTGGAGGTGGGGATAGAAAAAGAAAGAATCCTGTTGAAATAATTATCCCAAATCAAGGATTAAAACAAGGCATTCTTATCCAAAGTCTGCAATTCCGTGAAGAAAAATTATTACTCTAACACAAGGTTTCTCAACCTTGGTGCTACTGACAAGTTGGGAAGAATAATTCTTTGTCATAGAGGGCCATCCTGCGCAGAGTGTTAAACAGCATTCCTGGCCTCTATCCATTCAATGCCAGTAGCAACTCACCTCCAGTCCCCTAACTGTCACAACCAAAAATGTCTCTAAATAATCCCAAATGTCCTGGGGTGGGTGGGGGGGTGGTGGCAAAATCGCTCCCAGGGGAGAACCATTGGTCTAACATTTACTTTTACTTGCTAACTTTCATTTCTTCTTTTTTCTCTTCAAAGAAAGCCAACAAGTATTGCATGAGACATATTTATACTAAACAATTATTCACTGTCTACCTAAAATTTACCTGAGCATCCTGTATTTTTATTTGCTAAATCTGGTAACCCTATGTGTGACAGAAATAAAAGATCTAGTAGCCAGAATCCCAGGCTAGATATGTCCTTCCCCATATCTACTATGCTCCTCAAAACAAGCTAATAGAGCTAAAAAAGATGTATCAGAGACAGTCCATTCTATTTAAACCTCAGGGATACCACAAGGCCGCTGATCACAAACGGTGCCATAGTTCTATGGAAGACTTACCATTGGGGTCTTTCCTGAATAGTGTATTCATGACTGTAGCATGCAGTTTCACACTATTCCACTCTTTCACTATTAGTCCGGATGCCTGAAAACGTTCCAGCACTCGATCAACTAATTCCTGCAGCCTGGAGAAATTGAAGAAAAGAAGTACAGAAATCTTAATAAATTCCTGAACACATGATTACTAATCCAACAATGTTTACAAAGCATCTGCTCTGTGCCAATCACTTTTCAAAGCCCTGCATCAGAAGAGGAAGAGGCTTCAGCCCCATCATGGAGGTCACTGTCTTGACAAGAAGACAGAGAGACAGGGGAAATGAGTAATTGCAATATGTTATGGTGAATGTGAAGGACTATTCAACTCTACACGGAGAGGGCCAGGTTTCCACAGGAGGTTTAAAGGTGGTCTTGAAGGATCATTAAAGATTTGCAAATAAAACCAGGGCAGTTGAAGGGCAGTTGAAGCAGAAGAAGAAACAGCACATGCAAAGATGCCAAGGCATGCAAGATGACAGCATATTTGGAAAACTGCCAATTATTTAATAACAGTGCAAGAAGGACAATTAGAGATGAGCTGGATCTATAAGTAGCGGTCAGACCATGGGAAGCCACCAAAAGACTTTCAAAAGAGAATGATGTGGTCTGATGTCCATTTTTGAAAGCTGACTCTGTGGCAGAGTGGAAAATGCTTTAGAAGGGGAAGGGACCAGCCGTACAGAGGTCAGCTAAGTGGCTACTGCAATAGACCAAATAACAAAAACAATGTGTCAGGTACTGTTCTGAGCACTTTGTATCTGTTAAATCACCCAATCCTCATAACAAATTATTATCCCTATTTTACCAAAAAGCAAATTAAAGCACAAAGAAGTGATGAATTTGACCAAGGTCACAAAACTACTAAGTGGCAGATCAGAATGCATACAGTCTAGCTACAGAGTCCATGCTCTTAAGAACTGCATATAAAGAGGAAAATGATGAACATCTAAACTGTAGCAGGGCAGTGAGATAAGGGAATGGATTCCAAAGAGCTATGTGAGAGAGAGGCTGGTGCTCATTCAGATATGGCTGTGTTAAGGGAGAGGAAATGGTTAAGAAAGATTCCCAAGTGTTGCCTTAAATGACCAAGCAGGTCATTAACCAAGATGGGGAGCTGTGGAGAAGCATCTGTTTGTTGTCACGCTGTGTTGTTTTGGGGAGAAGGTTAACATACTGTATATAATTTTGCATATGTGGCACAAGACAGTGGAAGAAAGATGAAAATCCAAGCCTGGAGCTTAAGAGGAAAATCTAGGCCGGGCGCTGTGGCTCACGCCTGTAATCCTAGCTCTTGGGAGGCCGAGGCGGGCGGATTGCTCAAGGTCAGGAGTTCAAAACCAGCCTGAGCAAGAGCGAGACCCCGTCTCTACTATAAATAGAAAGAAATTAATTGGCCAACTGATATATATATAAAAAATTAGCCAGGCATGGTGGCGCATGCCTGTAGTCCCAGCTACCCGGGAGGCTGAGGCAGAAGGATCACTCGAGCCCAGGAGTTTGAGGTTGCTGTGAGCTAGGCTGACGCCACGGCACTCACTCTAGCCTGGGCAACAAAGCGAGACTCTGTCTCAAAAAAAAAAAAAAAAAGAGGAAAATCTAAACTCCATAGAGTTAGGAATCATCACTACACAAACAGCACTTAAAAGCATGGGAGAGGAGTCATGGGGGTGGTGGGATTTGGAGTACGCCAAGAAGAGATCTAGAAACAGAGCCCTACGAAACACTTCTACGTAGGGAGCAGAGAAGGAACCAGCAAAGACAGCTGATAAGGATAAGGAGTAAGAAAAGGAAGTTGAGAGGCTGAACAGAGACTTACAAGAGGGAAAAAAGAGAATAATCAGTACAGGACAACACTATGAAAAGAAAAGACACAAAAAATGCCTCCTTATTTCTCAAAATTAGAGACCTCTGTCAAAGCAGTTTTGTTGATGTGCTGGAAACAGAAGTCTTGTGACAGAGGACCAAGGGAAGAACCAGAGAGAGGAGGGGAAAGTGGTAATTGCACATAACTCTGTCAAGAAACTTGAAAAAAAGGAGAGAAACCAATGCCTTGGTAATCAGAAGATATGGAGTTGAGGGAAGGTTGTTTGTATTTGCTTTTAGTGAGGAGAAAAAGTTGAAAATGCTTATTGGCAACAAGAAATTATTCAATAGAGAAGGAAGATCAAACCTCAGGCCATCGAGGGAATGCACAGAACAAGATCTCAAAGGATGATGTGCACATAGGGGGCAGGAATACAGCAGTGAACAAAGTCAGCTCCCACCCCAAGCAACTAATATCGCAGTGGAAGGAGACAGGCAACAGACAGACACACATATACTACCTCGGGGGTACTAAGTGCTATGAAGAAAATGAAATGGCAAAGAGGGAGTGAAATGTGACTGGGGCTGGGTGTATTATTTTAGATAGGGTGGTCAGGGAGGGTCTCCCTGAGAAAGTTGACATTTGAGCAGAGACCTGAGGGAAAAGCATTCCAGAGAGAGAGAACAGCAAATGCAGACATCTGAGGCAGGCATATGAGTGGTATGACTGAGGAACAGTAAGGAAGCCAGTGTTTGCAGTGAAACCAGGGAGAGAGAGCGATGAGGTCAGGGAGATAGGAAGAACTTGCAGGCCAGTATAAGGGCGTCACCATTTACTCTGAGAGAGGTGGGGAGCTTTTGGAGGGTTTTTAGCAGAAGAATGACATGATATTGCTGCTGTGTGGAGGACAGACAGCAGTGGAGGCAGGATGGAAGCGGGAAGGCAGCTAGAAGGTGATGGCAACCACCCATGTGGCTGGTGGAGCAGCAGCAGTGGAGGTGGTAAGAAGTGACAGATTTCCTGGTATATTGGAGTCGAGAAGTGAAGGTGATTCCAAAAGAATTTTTGTCCTAAGCAATCAGAAGATTGGACATCAAAGAGCAAAACACATTTGAGGACTCATAACAATTCTGTAGAAAAGGAAAGGCAGGCTGAAGCCAAGCTGTGAAGACCTCTGTGGGTCAGGCAGGGTTGGAGTTTTACTTGGTAGCCATGAAACTAATGAGGGTTTTAAAGAAGCAAGAAACATAGGAAAAAACTAAAGGCATGGAAACCAGTTAAGAGAGATGTGCTTCCTGACATAGTTATCTTAATATTTTTCCCAATTACAAAAATAATATATATTCACTATAGAAAATACATAAAGTGCAGAAAAGCATAAAAAGGAAAATGTAACTTCACCATCCACAGATAAATGAATTCATAAAAGGCAAATATTTTGGAATTCTATTAAGAGAACTTAAGGGTACTTAGACATAATCACTAAATTTCAGGTTAATGTCACAGAGAATAACTGAGAATAATGTCACTATATTTGTAACAGTATATTCTTTCAATTTTTATTTCATTGATCCTTTTCTGTTTATGAGTGAGTCACAAAGCTTTTCTATGCCTTGTTTTCTTATAAGCAAATTAAAAATAATATGCGGCCGGGCACGGTGGCTCACGCCTGTAATCCTAGCACTCTGGGAGGTGAGGAGTTCAAGACCAGCATGAGCAAGAGCGAGACCCCATCTCTACTATAAATAGAAAGAAATTAGCCAAACAACTAAAAAAAAAAAAAAATTAGAAAAAATTGGCCGGGCACAGTGGTGCATGCCTGTAGTTCCAGCTACTCGGGAGGCTGAGGCAGGAGGATTGCTTGAGCTCAGGAGTTTGAGATTGCTGTGAGCTAGGCTGATGCCACGGCACTCTAGCCTGGGTGACAGAGTGAGACTCTGTCTCAAAATAATAATAATAATATGGGTTGCTATGAAAAAAGGAATGACTTATTCTTAAAGCAGCTTTCATTTAGATAATACTTTGGGTTTGACTGAGGAAGGAAATAGCAGAGGACATAAACAGGTGGAAAACCATATCATGCTTTGAATCAACATTGTTAAAATGTCTATACTACCCAAAGTGGTCCTACACAATCAATACAATCCCTATTAAAATACCATCATCATTTTTCACAGATACAGAAAAAATAATTTTATGCTTCATATGGAACCAGAGAAGACCCCATATAACAAAAGCAATCCTAGGCAATAAAAACAAAATGGGAGGTATCAATTTATCAAACTTCAAACTATACTACAAGGCTATAGTAATTAAAATAAGCTTGTGACTGGCACAAGAACAGGGACATTGATCAGTGGAACAGAAAGGAGAACCCAGATATAAAACCATCCTCATATAGTCATCTAATCTTTGACAAAGCAGACAAAAATATACACTGAGGAAAAGAATCCTTATTCAATAAATGGTGCTGGGAAAACTGGATAGCCACATGTAGAAGACTGAAACAGGATCCACACCTCTCACCTCTCACAAAAATCAACTCATGCTGGGTAACAGACTTAAATCTAAGGTGTGAAACTATTAGAATTCTAGAGGAAAACGTTGGAAATACTCTTCTAGACATTGGCCTAGGCAAAGAATTTATGAGGAAGACCCCAAAGTCAATCACAGCAACAACAAAAATAAATAAATAGGACCTGATCAAATTAAAAAGCTTCTGCACAGCCAAAGAAACTGTTGAGAGCAAACAGACAACCTACAGAATGGGAGAAAATTTTCGCAAGCTACACATCCGATAAAGGGCTGATAACTAGAATCTATTTAGAACTCAGGAAAATCAGCAAGAAAAAAATCAAAAAGTGGGCAAGAACATGAACAGAAACTTTTCTAAAGAAGACAGAATAATGGCCAACAAACATATGAAAAAATGCTCAACATCTCTAATCATCAGGGAAATGCAAATCAAAACCACAATGAGGGCCGGGCGCTGTGGTCACGCCTGTAATCTAGCTCTTGGGAGGCGAGGTGGGCGGATTGCTCAAGGTCAGGAGTTCAAAACCAGCCTGAGCAAGAGCGAGACCGTCTCTACTATAAACAGAAAGAAATTAATTGCCAACTGATTATATATATAAAAATTAGCCGGGCATAGTGGCACATGCCTGTAGTCCAGCTACTCGGGAGCTGAGGCAGAAGGATCACTCGAGCCCGGAGTTTGAGGTTGCTGTGAGCTAGCTGAGCCACGGCACTCACTCTAGCCTGGACAACAGAGTGAGACTCTGTCTC